CCCCAAAACCCCAAAACCCCAAAACCCCTTTTTTGTAGAGCAAGATTGCAATTATTTTATAATAATATGAAATCGCTAAATATGAGCAGTTTCATAAACTTACTCCTTCTTTGGATGATACTTGGAGTGAGTAGAAGCTTAATCAGAGAACAAGATCTGCTATGCGGTCAAAGAGATTCTCCTTTTACTAAAATTGTTGGGAATAATGTCACTGCGACTGGACAACTCAACTCTGTTGCACTTTTGAATAAAAATCAAGAGATCCTTCTTTGTGGAGCATACAGTTATGTGAGTACCAAAGGGATCATTGGAAGTTCATCAAAAGACGGTGACCTTAAATGGGCATACTCTTTGCACATGCCATGTGTGTTCATATATGCTGATGACAAGGAATCATCGATCTACTCAATCCTATACACCTCTTCTTTTGGGATAGAGGTGCATTCGTACAATTCGGAGAACTCATTAGACCGAAACTATATGTATGCTCTTGAGGATGCAAATATTGCTTCCGTTGATGACGCAACTATTAATGGAGACTTCAACTGGGTTCTACTGACCAAGACTGACAATACATGCTATATGATAATGATTACAAAGATCAGGAGAAAATCTTACAAATGCTCATCAACAATTTCTTTGAAGAGTTTTAGATTTATCAATTCAGATCCTTTAGTCATAGGGAATGACGCCTCAGGTGTAATTTACTCCACCAGACTTTACTCAGACCGGTTTGAGATTAAGTGGCAAAGGAAGATAGAGGGAGCTACCTCTACAGATATGTTCTTGTATGACTCAAATGACAGTTCTGATACTTCCAATGCCCTCGCAGTGTTCATAACTAGTCCTAATAATTACCCTATGATTGTGAGTTATAGTTATGAGGACGGGAGTATCATTAAGGTCTCTGTTTTTGAGTACTCTATGACCTCTCCGAGGATCTTGTATAGTAGCATTCAGAAGGATTATATACTGACGGGAGAAGTCTCTGCCACCAATCAGTTGGCCTTTGTCAGATTCTCTGAGTCGTTTCACTTTGGAGATTTGAGAGCTACTGAGGCTAATTCAAATCTATATACTCTTGTTCCTGGAACAATTGCTCTAGATACAAACTCAAGTCTTATTTTTGGAGGAAAAAACGGAGATAACAAGCTCTTGTATTATATGACAGGGGAAGACCTTTCAGCATACTCTTGCGTGCTCGGCGGCTCTTCAAGAATCCCGAAAGTTGACATTAGCAAATCAAAGAAAAATCTTACTTTGAATCCAAAGACATCAGCAACCCAAGATGGAGGGTGTAAGTAAACTCTTGAGAGCTTTTCTCTAAATTTATCTCCTTTTCATTTGTTTTTACATTTTATGTATTTCCTTGACATAAAATGTTTTTTTTCCAAAATTTCGAAATTTAAAAATTGCTAAATGTCTCCCAAATTGAATTATGTTTTAATTTTTATCAAGGTTGCTAATTTTTGCAGAAATTCTAAATTACAATTAGATTTACTACGATGAACTCTCTTTTTATGATAAAATAATTCTAATTAACTAAATTTCTTCGAAAATTTTCCTAAATCTTAAGTCAAAGAAGCTTCACGTTTCAGACTCTTGATGATTAACTTTTTTTGTAGATTTCAATTTAACGAATGATGCTTCAAATGCAAAGTGGGATAATAAAACAGGAAGACAGTTTGGGTATGACACCACAATGGCTGCTACTTCAAATTGAACTACTCCTCTTAACTCACACTGGATTAAGCCAAGATTTGTGTCTGATAGATACTCTATGAGATTCCACACTGTTTGTAATGGAGTGACTAATGCTCAGGAAAGTATTTCAAATCTGTCTCTGAGTTTGGAAGTGATGAAGAACTCTGATAAATCTATCCAGACAAACCCTATTCTGTACACTGAGGCAGGCAATATTGATATAGTCACCACCCAGCTTGATCCAGGTGAGTACACATATGCTCTGAAGGCTTATCCGAAGGACAATCTAGCAAATGGGTACATAGAGATTGCCTTTAATTATAAAGTTGAGCAAAGCTTGGTGATGATCCTAATGAACGTGGTCATATACGTGCTTTTATGACTTTTTGTTATTGATGCTCTTGTTAACAATAATTATAAATTCTTAAGATATTTTATTTTCTCCTTACAGTTGATTCATTTCACAAGCATGATATATGTGAAGAGTCCTCCTTCTTCTGTATTCTTTTCGAACGCTATTTCTCTGAGTTCTTTTACTAACTTTTGGATGACAAGGATGATGATGAAGGATCCGATTGAGACAGATTCAATCTCATTCTTTAATGCTGGATTAGAGACCAGGCACTCGTTGTTGATTCTCTTTTTCCCAATTCTGCTATCAGTCTTTATTGGATTATGCTTACTTGCAACTTACTATTTGGTGAAATGGAATATCATAGTCTTTTCAGATAAGCAGAAGAAACTTTCTGTAATGAGTAAGATCAAGAAAAACTACTGGAAGTCAATAGTAAAGTTCATTTGGGAGATAGAATTTCCATATTTCTTGTTAATCCCTTTGTATGAGCTCACCCAAGCAAACTTCAGTGGAGGAATTTTATCCATTATTTCGTATATCTTTGCTATTTTGGTGCTATTGCTCAACCTGACACTGACATTTATTCTACAACTGTATAATTTAAAGAAATTATCTGAGAAGTCCGTGAACGAAGAGACGAAGTGGAATGTACTAGACTGAAATTCATTTTCGAGTAACTCTAGTTTAGTATTTGAGTCGATCTTCTTTGTCTGCCATAGAATAATTATTGTGGTGCTTCTACTGATACAAACTTCTATCTCAAGCTTTGAGGTTACTTTTGTGATGTTCACTGTGAACTCGATGGCTTTTGCATTGACATGGAATATGAGGTAAATAAAAGAGACTTTTAGAGGCTTAATTGGCTGGGCTTGGGGGTAGATTAGAAGGAAATTTATATTTCAAGAGATTATTAAGGAAAATAGAAGAATAGTATCTCACAATCCGCCCATCTAACTCTTTCTTTTAGCACCATTCCATCCCTCTAATCCCTGTAATCATCTTCGGCTTCATCACAATCTCATTTACATCCTATAACCTGGACATGTACGATAAGCAGAAAATAGGCCTGATCGGGAACTTTTTAGTCGTGCTTTTCTACATAGCTTTTGGAGGCCTCAGAGTGCAGAATATTATCCAGGCTTATAAGAAGAGGAAGGAGGTGAAGGAGAAGAAGGGGAAGAAGGGGAAGGAAGAAGAGAAGAGAGATGTGACTGACCAGAATCTGGGAAAGGAGCCGTATAGGTCGGAGGTAGAGCAGGATGAACCCATGGATGGTCTGAGAGAGGATTTGAGGTACTAGAGGGGAAGGAGGGGGTTTGAGGGGGATTTTGGAGTGGTTTGGAAGAGGGTGGTTGGAATTGAATGAAGCTTGGGATGGCAGTGTCCTCTTGGAAATTCAAACTAATCACTATCTTAAGTAAAGATAATAATTTCCCTCTCCCTTTTAATTCCTTATTCCAATAATTTCTCTCAAAATGGGGTTTTGGGGTTTTGGGGTTTTGGGGTTTTGGGG